CTGTGTGATAGTATTCTAACTTCATCTGTTCCTCTCACCATCACGCAGTAGAAATACATGAATGCCTGGAGTGGAAACCATCTAGGCTATTTCAAACATACACAGTGAAGGAGAATGCTATATAAAACAGCAAATTCCAAGATAGTCACTTAATGGGAAATGACTAGACAAGACATACAGGCTTTCAAGAGTTAGTTTCTAAGGCTGTGTTTGCAAACAGTGGGATTTACAGCTAAAATAACAAAGTTGCAAAATTTTTTATTTCTTGTCCTCAATTTTTTTCCCATCCTACTGGATTGATGCGGTGATGTTTTTGTTCCTTCCATATTTATAAATGAAACACTGTTTTTTAGTGTTTCTAAACACAATATCTGCTTGGCTTGAAATCAAGTGTTGGAACACCATTTTGACTTTTCATTTATGCGCATGCTGATTGAAAGCTTCATTTAAGAAGCATTCAGCCTGTGCTGGGTTTGATTCTGTAAGTGTAGCACAACACCTAATGTTTCTGTAATATGCTCTGTTTTGAGGACCAATACTCAACGTGGATTTTGTTCTTGGACAGTATCCCAGTAGTTTTGATGACATTGTTGGCTTGAGGTCTGATTTTTTTTAAAAACAGAATTAAGAAATCTAATGTTTAAAAAAAAAATACAGATTTGTATATATATTAATAAAACTAGCAAAATGAAACTAGATTGGATAGTAATCTAAATTCTAGTTGTATAGAGGAGGGGAAGGTTTGGTGCCATATTTCTCCCTTCACGGTGTTGGACTTAAAATCAGTTGAATTGTATTTCTGTACAATTTATGCTTCAATAAAAATTTTGCTTAATTAATTGTCTAATGACATTAAGAAATTCATGTTTGTTTAAGTAGTATACCTAACCATGTACATCTAAAGTTTGTATAAGTAAGGTAACTTAAAAGGAATAATCTTTTCATAATAATTCTATATTATGAAGACATGGAAATTTTAAGTTCCTGATTGATCTGATTTCAGATTTTTTGTTAGTGCTTCTTGAATGAAGTTCAAAATAAAAATCATGGGTGCTAGGTGTTTGTGTACACATACATCAATGGGAGGACAGTAGAAAAAGTATACAGGAAGAATATGCATTTGAAAGAGGAATCAAATGATTATAAGAAGTTCCTAATTGTAGATTGTGTTCTAATTGGGGAAATGGCGGGGGGGGGGGGATTGCTGCACAGCATCTTAGCACTAGGCCACCACTGGACCTTTTAGTTTCATATTTTCATTTATAAGTAAAATCTTGCTGAAGATTACTTCAATATGGCTGGAATAGTGCATCAACAGGGGATCTGCCAGAAATTTATAATCCCAGGTTTAAAAGAATGAAGGCTATCATTGCTGGTGTCGGGTAGATCTTGGCTGAAAAATACTACCAGATGTTTACCTTTGTTGAATCCATTAAGTAAAGGCCGTTGACAGTATGGGTCATAACAAATACGGAGAGCTAAGTGGAAATAGGAATATAGTTGCAATGAGTTAGAATCAACTCCTAGCTCACCCGCCAGCTGGCTGTAAATCACACGGGTGAAGATTGCCCAAAAAAAAGGTTTTTTGGGTTGTTTTATGGGTTTTTTCCCAAGTTATTAGTCCTTAATCTTTTTTTTTAAAAAGATTCAATGTCTTGTACCTAGGGTCTTAAGAGCTTGCATTCCTTTATAAAACAATGGGAATGATTGTTCGAAACTATGTGTGAAGCATAGTGTGAGACAAATGTATGCAAACTGAAGGGGAAAAAAAGTTGGAAAACAGATTACATTCTCCTATTGCAACAGAGGAACAAGGTTAGAATCAATGTGCCGAGTTGCCTGTCATTCATTAGTGACTATAATAGCTCTGGAGCCAGTCTCAATATCTCTGACTTACTGCTATCCCTATTGCTGTGTCAGTCCATCTCACTGGGGTCTGTCTGCTGCTCCACCAAGGTGTTCTCCAATAACTGGTCCCTCCTCACCACATGCCCAAAGTATGTGATACAGAGCTTCAAAATCCTCCACAAAGAGCAGTTTTGTTTCACCCTCCAGAAAGGGACTGTTCGTTCTCTTGGCCGCCTTTGGTATGCTCATTACTCTTCTTCAGCATCACAATTTAAAGGTATCATTTCTGTCATTAGTCACATTCCAGCTCTGAAACATAGCAAGTAATTGCAAAGACAGTGGGCCTGGATCAGGTGCATCTCGATCTCTAGACTGCTAATACTCTTAACACTCTGGAGAGGTCCTTGACAGCAGATTTCCCTAGTGCAGTTTGTCTTTTAATGTGGAACCTAGCAAGCTGAAACTTACCCTCAGTCTCTTTTTAGAATAGGAGGGAAATGGAATGTAATTGCTTCCAAGAACTTTTGCCATGAGACCAGAAGAACTGAATGGTGCTTACCTACCATTACTGAACATTTTTATAAAATGTTTGGCTGCTCAAAAGGAGAACAGAAGAGAATTTTAAATTCCCACGACATCCACGTTTTCTCTAGCCATAGAATTTGGGTGAACATCTGACACTGATAATCTTGAGTGCTTGAAATCAAACAATAATTAAACCAAGCATGTCTGCCTTGAACATTGTACTCATTTAAGAACTATCTACATTAGTATAGAAGCAAAAGAACTCTGGTCATTATGTATATTGCAGTTAACATCAAACAATACTGATGAAATAGAGGATGAGGAAAAGACTAAAGAGGTTTCCGTTGGTGGAAACAATTGTGGAGAAGGTTGGCCTTTAAGAAGGGAGGGAGAAGCCGCAGAGATTAGCAAATGAATGGGTAAGGTGAAGGGAAAGGGAGGGTGAACTAAGGTTTTAGATTGATGTTGCTGTTGAGTGCATCTCATAGCAACCCTCTGAACAATCCATCCAATCACTGTCCTATCCTGTGCCACCCTCACAATCTGACACTCAAATCAAGCCCATTGCCACAGTCACATTGTCAGCCCACTTGGTGGACGGTCTTCCTCCACATCATGACACCACCTTCCCAAGCTTGATTCTCAAGGAATAATCTCTTAGACTGGATGCACCTTCTCCAAGATATATTTGCTCTGGCTGTCCATGGGATGTTCACTCCTCCAACATCACAGTTCAAAGGCATCAATTCTGTCATCCTTATTCATTGCACAGATCTCAGATGTGTCTTAGACCTCAAACTGATATTATTGCTCCTCAGTAATTTAGAGGGTTTCTTGTCTACAAACTCCCAGTGTAGTACATCTCTGCCTACTGCTATGAAGTGTATATTGATTGTGGATCCAAATAAGACGTAATTGTTGACAATCTTATTCCTTTCTCTGTCCATCATGATGATGTTGCTTATCATCAGTCCAATAGCAAGTATTTTGGTTTTCTTGGCGTTAAGATGCAATCCATATTTAAGGCTGCCGTGTTTAACCTGCAGCAAACACCATTCTTGGGAATGGAAACAAATAGGGATGTTTTCCAGTTAGTCAACCAGGCAGCTTTCCCCCAAATGTCCTGGCTTAAATCAGTGAGCATGTCCAGGGCTGCATCTGTCATTTGAAACATTGCAATTGCTACCACATCAATGCCTGAGCCTCCGCCCCTCCCCCCACCCCTTGTATTCAGTGCAGCTTGAATTTTCTTCATTACCATTGATCCTTGATCATGAGGTAATTTCATTGTTGAAATATTTCAGTGTTGGACAGTTCTTTTTGGTATAGTGAATCTGTGTATTCCCTCCATCTTCTTTTGATGTTTCCTGATTCATTCAAGATTTTGTTCA